ATTGCGCCCTATATTTTTCTCCCATGCAATTATTTGATTCTTCGTGACATCTTCGAACTTGTCACCATTTAATATATAATTGTATAATTTTGCCAGAATCTTTTTGTTTGTTCCCATCAAGACTTTATCCAGTCCGTTTGATCCCAGTTCTAAACCATATTGTTCTTTGTCTTTCTGATATCTGGATTTTACTTGTGCATAAGTCCACCAATCTAAAGTTATTCCTTGCTCTCGTAAAATATCATTTGGTTTAAGCCACCCTCTTTCGTCTAGGATATCTTTATATCTGCCCATTTTCTCCCTCTCCCACCTATTTGGGTGGGTCAGGGCCTCCATCGTTGAGAGCCAATTTGGGATTTTTTTGTAATATTTTTGCCTAATCTGGGTCCATGTTTGTATCAGGGAATCTCTAATTTTGTGTCTATGAAAATGTGTCTTCCTTTTCTTCTCCGTTTCCCAGATGTGGGCGTGCCAGCCTTTTTGCAGGTCATGGCCTTCTAAGGTAAGAATTCTCTTATTTTCCAGGGTGATCCAATCTTTTATCCATACTAGCTTGGCTGACCTGTAGTATGTTTCCCAGTCCGGGAGTCCAAATCCACCTATGTCTCTTTTGCCCCTTAAAATTTTAATGGAAAATCTCGGTTTTTTCCCCTCCCATATGAATTCGCTAATAATTTTGTCTAGTTCTAAAAAGAATTTTTTATCTAAATTTATGGGTATATTTTGAAATAGAAATAATATTCTGGGGAGGATGTTCATCTTAATTGTGGCTATCTTGCCCAAAAGTGATAGTCTTATTTTTTTCCAGCAATCTAGGTCTTGTTTTATTTTCCTGATTAGGGGAATATAATTATCGTCTTTCAAGGTCGAACATCTTGATGTAATCCAAATTCCTAGGTATTTAATTTTTTTGGCAACCTGTAATCCTAGTACTTCTTCTATCTCGTTTTTCTGGCTCTCAGTTGTGTTCTTGATCAATACTTTGGTTTTGGTTTTGTTCAGTATGAAGCCTGCCACCTCTCCATATTTACTTAATTCCTCCAATACTTTAGGTCCCGATTCTATAGGGTCTTCAAGGATTAGGGCTACATCATCCGCAAATGCTTGCGTCTTGTAAATCTCCTTTCTGATCTGCAATCCTTTTATTTCATCGTTAAATCTAATTTTCCTTAGAAGAACTTCTAGGGCCAGAATGAACAATAAAGGGGATAGGGGACAACCTTGCCTTACTCCCTTACTAATTTGGAATGTTTTAGTCCTATCCCCATTCACCAAGATACTCGCCTTTTGGTTATTATAAATGGATTTAATCATCATTTCAAAATTTGTTCCAAATTTCATCATCTCAATTTGTTTATTCATGAATTTCCAATTTAGATTGTCAAATGCCTTTTGAGCATCGACAAAAATCAGAGCCATCTGTTTTTCAGGGTGTTCCTCATAATACTCTAGCGTGTCTAGTACAATTCTCATATTATCCCTAATTTGTCTCCCCGGTAAAAATCCATTCTGGTCTTTATATATCCAATTATTTAAAATCTTTTTCATTCTTTCGGCCATTATGCCCATGAATAATTTGTAGTCCGTATTTAGGAGCGAGATTGGTCTGTAATTTTGAATTTGTTTTGGGTCGGCACCTTCTTTCGGCACAAGTGTGACATGCGCCTCTTTCCATGACTCTGGAATTTTGTGGTCTAACAGTGCATCATTAAAAATTTCTACTAATTTCGGTTGGAGTATTTCTTCTAATTTTTTATATATTTCCCCTGGAAATCCGTCAGGTCCTGGCGCTTTATTATTTTTCAATTTGGAAAGGGCTATTTTTAATTCTTCAATTGTGATCTTTCTGTTAAGCATTTCTTTCTCATCATCAGTTATTTGTGGGAGCTCTGCTTTTATCAAGTATTGTTCTATTTTGTCATCCGATATCTCCTCTTCTTTATATAGGGATTCGTAATATTCTCTCACCCTATCCCGTTTTTCTTCCTCGGTAATCAATAATTTGCCCTTAGAGTCTACTAAAGTATGAATTATTCCCCTTTCATTTTCCTTTTTTAATTTATAGGCCAACCACCTCCCCGATTTGTTGGTATTCTCAAAAAGATATTGTTTCGTTCTTTTCATTCTTTGTGCCAACTCTTCTTGCTCCATGATGTTTACTTTATGCTTCCACATCATCCAATTTTCTTTGGCTGCTTCATCTTCTGGATTATCTTGGAGTTTTCTTTCTGATTCTCCTATATGATTTAAGTACTCTTCCAGGATCTTCCTTTCTTCTTTATTTTTATGTGCAATATATGAAATCACGACTCCTCTCAGATAGGCCTTCATTGTGTCCCAAACTATTGCGCGGGATGTGCCTTTGTTTTCATTTTCCTTGAAAAAGAAATTTATTTCTTCTTTAAATTTTTGTATACAGTCTTTGTCGCCCAGTAATTTAGCATTAAACCTCCACCTCCGTTGGTATTTTCTCTGGAGAGACTTCCATCTGATTTCTAATGGATTATGATCAGCCCAATCGTTTGGGTTAATTACTGCAGTTTCAATTTCCAACCCCAAATTTCTACTGGCCCATGCCATGTCAATTCTGGACCACGACTTTTGTGCATTTGAAAAGAAGGTATATTGCCTGTCATTTGGGTGCAGGGTACGCCAAATATCAATTAGATCTAATTCATCGACTAACTCAAAAAATGCTCTCGGTAAGTTTGTCCTTTTATTTTTTTTAACTTTATTGCTCTTATGGTCCTTCTCCGGATCTACAATGCCGTTAAAATCCCCTATCATACAGATTTCAGTATATGCCATTTTCACTAATTGTTCATGCAGTTTCTTAAAGAATTCTCCCTGTTTTTTATTCGGGGCATAAATGCCCACTAATAATACCTTGGAATTCCCTCTCTTAACTTCAATCATAAGGATCCTACCCTTTGTATCTTTAAATTTCAATTCTGCTTCAATTCCTTTTTTTACGTAGATAGCCACCCCCCTCTTCTTTTTCTCTGCCAGCGAATCAAATGTTTGACCAAATTTTTTATATTCTAAACATTTACTTTCTTCTTTTTTTATGTGCACCTCTTGTAAACACATTATATCAACATTTTGTTTACCTAGTTTTGTTAATATTCTTTTCCTCTTTTTATAATCATTTAGTCCATTGACATTTACGGATATTAACTTCAAGCCATTCATCTCTAAACCCCTATCTGATTACTGGTTCTTGTTTATTTCTTACGGCCCTTACTGGTCTCGCTTTCTTCTCTTTGGCTTCTCCTTCTTCTTCTGTCTTCTCCTCTACAGTTGCCTCGTTCGTGTTCTGTTGATGTAGGGCTTCCTCCTCCACTGCTGCTATTTCTAGATCTTCCTTACTCCCCTGCTCTTCTTCCGCGCCTCTTAGCTGGTCAAGGAAGTCTTGTGCTGTACTCAGATTTTCTATTTTAATTTTTCTTCCTTGCCAGGTTATTAGCATCCCTTCTGGGAGAAGCCACCTGAATAGTATCTTTCTTTTGTTCAACTGTATAGCCAAAAATCTATATCCCTTCCTCATCTCCCGGACTCTTCTTGGTATCTGTTTTAGGATTATTATTTCTTTTCCTCGATATGTAATCTGTTCGTCTCTTGCCATATTATAAAGAGTATCTTTAACTTTTTTCCGTGCGAAGCGGATATGAACTTCTCTAGGAAGCTTGTTCCTTCTTGCATAGTTAGTCTGGACCCTATATACGTCGTCCAGCTCCCTAATTATTGCCTGTTTGTCTTGGTGAAGTGCATCGGCTATCAGCTCCGCCATTTTTTCTCCTAGGTCTTCCTCTTTGTCCTCAACAACATTCTGGAATCGCAAATAAAAGGAAGCCCGGTCCATCTCCAATTGGATTATTGTATCTTCTATCTCTTTATTTTGACTGGTTAGTGCTTGATCCACAATGTCTAATTTCTTTTCAGTTTGATCTATTCTTGTTTCGGCTTTTTGGATTCGTAGTTCATTATTAACTATTGATGTTTGGATATCATTCATTTTCTGGTCCAATGCATGTATATCTGATTTTAATTCGACATGGTTATTTAATAATTTTTCCTGCATTGCCATCATTGTTTCTTGAATTAGGGTTAATGATGCTTGCAGAGTTTGCATTGCCAGGCTTTCTGTTGATTTTTGTGTCGCCGGAGAGGTTGTCGCTATAGTGGGGTTAGAGGGAGTCTTTTTTTCCTGTTTTCCCCACAGTGGATGCCATGCTTGTCATTTCTTTTAAGATTTTCTTTTGCTCTTTAATTATCCTGTCGATGTTACTCCAAATTCTCATTCGCCACTTAGCGCCTCTATTATCTTTTTTTTTTTATATATATATATATAAATATATATTTATATATCTATATTACTATATCTAATTTTCCCTTCTAAATTTGTAAACAGGTATAGCTAGTTTTCCGGTGGGCAGTCAATATCAATATCTATACGATGATTCTAATCTCTTCCTCACAATATCTTGTACTCAGAATGTTATTTAAATATATTTGATGTTAAATTGGCTTAGTAAATATAAGTTAAACAGTTCAGTACTATACAAATCAAAATATCAATTAATCAGCAGTTCACAATCAATATATCAATAAAGCAATTAATTTGACTCAATATTATACTTTTTAAATACTTAAAGTACTATAAATACTATAAATAGAAATTTTGAATACTTAATTTTAAATACGATTATAATTATATAATTATAATTTTAGATACTATAAAAATACTGGTAAATACTATAAATGCTAAACAATTAAATATATATATAGAAAGATTTAAAATATCAAAACTTAAGAGTGTATTATATTATCTAGTCAAGAAGAAAAAAAAAAAAAAAAAGAAGAAGTCAATTTATCAAAGTATTTACAGATCTAATAATCAGGATACTGAAGACAAATTATCTAAAGGTTCAAGTGTTGTTGTTAATTTAATTTTTTTTTTTTTTATATATATATATATATATATACTTATTATTCCTTTTTGGGATATAGTCTTTTTTGCCCAGTCTCTGATCTTCTATAAGTCCTCCAGGTTCAGCACTCTATCGTATTCTTGCTGCCAAACTGTCCACCACTGGGCAGGCTATTCCTCCGTCAAGTCACTCTAATGGCTGAGCTTCCTGTTCAGTGCAAAAAAGAAAGCCAAACTCGATCCACCCAATTTCAGCCTCCGCTGGGTCTGCTTGTGTTCACAGTAAAAAAAGGAAATAAGTGCTGGTCTTAAATTTTCTCACCGATCCTCTCTGGCACGCACACTGTCAGTACAATTTTCTTTCTTATTTCGATGCCGGCTTGTCGGGCTCTCTCTCTGCCGGAATACACAGGAAGCTTTCAATCGCCGCTTTTCTCATCTGTAAGGCTCTCCCGCCCGATTTCGCCGACCCCTTTCCTGATGTCCTCTCTCCTCAATGCAGAAAAGGTGTGTATCGATCCACACTGCAGCATCCGATCTCCCTTGCTTCCATCTGGTTGCTGGTTACCACAGCTTCGCGTCAGCCATTAGTTTGGCCGACTCACGCGTGCTGGGTTAGACAGAGCCGCCCGGTCTTGCGATCAGCGTTTTGCGCCCGCTTTCACGCTCACCCGGCTCGCTCTCTCGTCCGTGGGGCTCTCCGGGCTCCACGCCCCTCAGGGGGTCCCCAAAACACGGTGACTGATGGTATTGAGGAGCAGCAGTTACTCACTCAACGCCATATCGCCGCGGGTCACCAACCGGAAGTCGTTTCTTTTACTTTCTTATCTCCTGGATTAGATATAAGTAATTGTTCTTTCTTTTTTATTTCTTCCTCTATCTCTTTACGCTTCTTCTGTTGTTTTAGTCTATATTTATTATTCATATGTATTAAGATACCCCTCATATAAGCCTTACTAGCATCCCAAACCATTTCCATAGGAGTACTCTTATTCATGTTAATAACAAAAAATTCTCTCATTTGTTTTTTAAGCTCCTTTACATTTTCTTCATATCTAAATAAGTTTTCATTCAACCTCCAAGACCTCCTTTCTCCCCTCTCCTGTTCCAATTCAATCCAGACCGGACTATGATCAGTTAAAATTCTTGGACATATCTTCGTCTTCTTCACCCTGGAAATAAAATCATTTGTGATTAGTATAAAATCAATCCTGGAGAAGGATTGATGTCTATCAGGAAAAAAAGTAAAATCTTTTTCCTCCAGGTTACGTTCTCTCCAGATATCTCTCAACTCTGTATCTTCCATCATATCAAAAAAAGATTTAGGTAGTTTTGCACGTGCTGAAGTCTTTGATAAGCTTTTTTTATCTTTCTGCGTATCAATTACTCCATTCCAATCACCCATTAGTATAAAAGATTTATAGTCCCACTGTATTATTTTAGTATGTAAAAATTTATAAAACTTGTCTTGTTGCTGGTTAGGGGCATATATTCCAATAAGAAGCATTTTTCCAGACTGTGTCAATAATTCAATTGCAATATATCTTCCTTGATCATCTGCCTCAATTAGATTAGCTGATAGTCCTTTCCTTACATATATGACTAGTCCGTTTTTCTTCTCTGGCGCTGATGCCACAAAATTTGTACCTAACCTTGAATTTATCAAATATTTTTGGTCTGATAATATGTGTTTCTTGTAAGCAAATAACATCATCGTTGAATTGTTTCAAGTAGTGAAATACTTTCTTTCTTTTTTGTGGTGAATTTAAGCCATTGACATTCCAAGATAGGAATTTAGTTGCCATCTTTGGCCCTTCGAAGCCTTGTGAGCATCAGCTGAAGCTCCTCCTCCACCTTACTCTTCGGCCTAGCTCCCCCCACTGCTTCTGTTTTTTGGACTTCTTGAGGTGAATCTTGAGTTTGTTGCCCTTTTGGTTGTTGTTGTTGCAATTTATAAGTTGATCGGGTCAGTCGTTGTGCTTTCGGCTCTCCCTTCTTAGGTGGTTCCAAAGTTGGGGGTAAACCCCCAAGATCCAAATCTTCTTCCATAATAATTCCTCCAGCTGCAGCTTCAGCGTAGGTTTGTATCTGTTTTCCATCTTTTTCTTGTTGTAACATCTCCATTTTCTTTCTTTCTTTCCCCCCCCACCCCCCGGTGAGGGTGGGTATCCAGCCTGTAACACATTTACATAAAAATCTTTTGACTTCCAAACTGTGTTTAACCGGTATCTTTCTCCTTTATAAGTCACTATTAGACCAGTTGGAACGTCCCATCTGTATGCCACTTGTTGATTTCTCAGCTCATTTACCAGAAAGCCAAAGTCTTTCCTGCTTCTCAGCATCTTTGGAGGAATCTCTTTCAAAACCACCACCTCCTGCCCAGCCACCTGAACTTTATTCTTGTAAGAAGCTTGTAGAATTTCATTTCTGATCCTCCTAGTTGTGAAATAAATCACCACATCTCGTGGCAGCTGTCTTTGTTTTGCCAACCAGGAATTAACCCTGTAAATTTTATCAATTTGAATTGCCACATCTTCTGGTCTTTCTTTAATTATCTCCGCCATAGCATCAGCACAAATGTCTTTTAAATTTTCTTTACTATTTTCCTTCAGGCCTCTCAATCTCAAAGCAAACTCCATAGATCAGTATTGTAACATTACCAATTCATCATCCACTTTCTCTGTTCTAGTCATGACATCACCCATTTTGCTTTCCAAATTTAAGTTGGCTTCATTAATTTCTTCAACTTTCCCATCAAGCTGAATAACAAAATTTGAGAGTCCTGATACAGCAAAAACAATATCCTCTCTTATTTTATCGTGTTCATCTGCAACTGCTCCCTTGATCGAACTTATGTCTTCCTCAATTTTCTTAAATTTCCCTTCAACAAGTAATGTTAAATTGTTCATTGCTTCTCTCATTGCTGTTGCTTGATTGTTCATGGCTTCTTTCATTTCTTCCTTAAAATCATTAAGTGCTGCATCTTGACTCTGGGTCTGGCTCTGTGTATCAGCCGGAAGTTGTGCTTTCTGTGTCACCACTGACACAACTGGAGAGCCTCCCCCTCCTTTAACAACTCCTGGTTTCACTTGTCTAGAAGCCATTTTTTTCCTTCCCCCTCCTCTTTTCTTTAAAAGGAACAAAGTCTTTGAAGATGTTAATTTATAGTCTCTAAATTGCCAGACAAAGTAGTTTTTTTCCCCTTTATTCTCTTCCCTCCACACTCTCAGTTCCCAGCAGTTAATAGGCAGCTAATCCACTCTCCCAGCGCAAAGTTCTCAAGCACTTTCGTTTCAGGCTTTCACTTTCAAAGCCCTGACAAAGACGCAATCTTCCGCCTCTAGCTCAAGATTCAAATTGAAACAAAGTAACTTTGGAGTTAAGCTCTGTATTTTTAAGGCTTGTTCTCTTGTTTTCCACTCTGCCTGCGCTTGGGATCAATCAAACTCACTTTTTAAAAGCAGGATCGGATCGCGGCTTCTCGCCCTGCTTTTGCAGGGTCGTCCTGGCTCCGGAGCTTCTTGGCAGGCTGACTGAGGAGCTCTCACCCTCTAAGCCTCTGGAAATGATCCAGAGGACTTTCGGGGGGCTCTACTCCCGCCCACCGGCTCTCCTCTCCTTCTTTTCCCGAAGGAGAGTTTTTCAGCCGCTAGACAGCCGATTTGCACTGTCAAAGCGGCTTTTATGGAGACGCAGGGCTGGCAGTCATAAATGACCGTCCACGGAGCCTGCGGTGCCAACCGAAAGTCTATTTTCTTGTTTAAATATATATATAATTAAATCATACACACGTGTGTGTGTGTGTGTGTGATTTAGTGCTAAGACTTGATTTCATAGCACAAAAAGATTTAAAAACCTCATAAAAAAGAGGAAGAAATAAATATCCATTAAATTCTTTTTCCAAACGTATTCAATCAATAAGGTAATTATGTAAAAAGAAGAAGAGAAAATGCATGAAACTATGTAGCTGTTAGTGCAGCTGAAGTCCTTTGTCCTTTTTAAGTCTTCATATCTGGCACAAACCAAGGTCCCCGTCAGCGCCCCTTCTAGAAAGAAAGGAGGCTGTCCTGTGCAGAACTGAGGCCGGTGCCTTCTGACAATCAAGAGTCCTCACCCTCCCCGCCCATCTGGTTGTGAGCATTGCGCCAGCCGGGCAACTCGACTGGCCAGGCAGCTTCAGGACTCCAAAGAGGCCGCCTCCAAACCCCTGGAGTCCCACGGAGCGTGTGTGTCCGAGACCAGCCTTGCGGGGGCTGCTGCTTGCCCTCCCTGGCTGTGGGGCCTAGCACTCCCTGACTGTGCCCCCTGCTTGGGATAGCCCCAGCCGTGCCAGATGGGTTGCCCTTCACTCCCTGGAGCTTGCTGCTGGCACCCAGCTCGGCCTCCAGGATCTCGAGCACCCCTCCTCAAAGGAGCCCGCTGGTGGGGCACGAAATAAAGCCAGGTCATGGCACATGCTTGAAAGTAAATCAAGAAGCCTGTAATTGTGGAAGAACAAAGAATGCTTATTTACAGGAAATATGCACGTGTAAATCTTGTAACAATTCTGGGTAGTTAGAAAGCTGATAAAAGTAACAAGAGTTAGACAACTCAGCTAAAAGGTAGGAATAGTGATGGCCTGCAGCAAATAAAATGTGTATTAGATAACTCCTGGGGCATTCATTAGCCAAGGCTTAGGAATAGGGACAGCTAGAGACCAATAGAACAAATTGTAGAATTATTACTAAAATGTTTATTAGATGATATTTTGTATTATCCCGCCTTCTTTAGTGAAAATGTATAACGCTTTCTTAATCCTTTGTTCTTGGCTCTCTTGGCATTTTGGTCAGGAACCCTTTTCTTTGGGGTATCCCAATAAAAAGCAATCAAAATCTGCACCTTGTGTCTGGCGTCCTTCATTGGCTTTGGCACCAGGCTCAAACACGAATCGGAGACAACAGCCACAACGCCCACTCCGCCATCGCCTCCTGAGTCTGTTGGAGGGCAGGAGGGCGCTCCCACAAGGCTTGATGACCTTGGTTCTGTGGCATGGATAGTCTGGTGCTGGGAAGCATCGGGGCGGCCAAAGGAGAAGCCAGAGACTGCTGCAGTCACCTCCAGCAGAGCCACAGGCGAGAGCCGGAGGAAAGAGCGGGGCTTCCCTGGCTGCGGGACAGCCCTCCCCTCTGCCGCCCACCTGAAGCGGAGGCCGATCTCCTCCGCTGTGAACGCACCAAGATTGCCTAGTGCCCACAAGTTCTGGAGGCAAGTCGTTCCACTGGTTAATTGTTCTCACTGTCAGGACATTTCTCCTTAGTTCTAGGTTGCTTCTCTTCTTTTTTTTTTTTTATTGCAAAAGTTTTACAATTACATTTTCACCCCTTTTTTCCCACCCCCCCTCCCCAAACTTCCCATCCTCCCTAACCCTCCCTAACCCTCCCCCCCCAGACTTCCCTATTATGTACTCATAACTAATAACACTGATATATAAGCTTGAACCCATCCCTCCCCCTGTATAATTTTTCCTCTTTGTCTCTTTACATTAAAATATTTCTAATACATTATTTTCAAATAAAAGCTATTTGATACTTTCTAGTTTGGTATTTGTTCTGAACATATTCTATCCACCTTTTCCATTCCCATTCATAAGTCTCTTGTGAACAATCTTTTAAATATGCTGAAATCTTCGCCATCTCTGCAAAACTAGCCATCTTCAAAGTCCATTCCTCGATAGTGGGCAAAGCTTCATTCTTCCAGTATTTACCTATCAACAATCTTGCTGCTGTTATCATATACAATATCAGTTTTGTTTCACCCCGTGTAAAACCCTTAACTATACCCAATAAAAACAACTGTGGAGAAAATTGAATTTTTTTCCTCAAAACATTCTGCGTGACCCACCAAATTTTTATCCAAAAAGCCTTAACTTTCCTACAGGTCCACCAAACATGATAATACGTAGCATCCAAACATTCGCATCTCCAACATTTTGGCTGAACATTAGGGTACATACATGACAACTTTTTAGGATCTAAATGCCATCTATAAAACATTTTATAAAAATTTTCTCTCAGGTTTTGCGACTGTGTAAATTTAACATTCTGAACCCAAATTTTTTCCCAAGTTTCCAGCATCACTGGTTCTTCAAAATTCTGTGCCCACTTAATCATACAATCTTTAACTAATTCCGTTTCTGAATCTCTTTCTAACAAAACATTATAAAGCCTTTTAATATGCATTGGACCTTTCTCTCTTATATGTCTAACCAATTCTTCCTCATGCAACATAATACCAGTTTTTTGGTCCTCTTTCCATCTCAGTTGTAGTTGATTGTATTGTAACCAAGTTAAATTAAACCCTTCATCCAACAGTGTCTGTAATGTCTTCAGCTGCCATCTGCCCGCATCTGTGAAAAGAACCTCTTTATATAAAAACCCCCGAGTGACATATTTGTATTCCACAAAGTATGACCAAGATCCAGCCATAGCGGTATTTTGTAATCCCATTTGAGTCGGTGCTTCTTCCAAACTCTCATCAAAGAGTCTCTAAGTATATGACTTTTAAATACTTTATCTACTTTATCGTCGTAAAATAAATAAGCATGCCATCCAAATTCAAGATCAAAACTTTCTGCATTCAATATTCCAGTCTTTTTACTTCCAAACCAATCACTTGTTAAAGTTAAAGCTGCTGCATCATAATATAAATGTAGGTTTGGGAGTTTAAGGCCTCCTCTTTCTGGAACATCTTGCATAATTTTCAATTTCACTCTTGGCTTCTTCTCGTTCCAGACAAACTTATTCACACCAGACTGCCAAACTTTCAGTTGTTTATCACTTTTAAGCACCGGAATCATTTGAAACAAAAACAGAAATCTTGGCAAAATGTTCATCTTAACTGCTGCTATTCTTCCAAGTAAAGACAGTTGCAGCTTTTTCCAAGTCTCCATGTCTTTCTGAACCTCTCGCCACAACACCTCATAATTATTTTGAAACAATTTCATGTTTGATTCTGCAACCTGAACTCCAAGATATTTTACCTTAGGTACAATTTCAAAACCTGCCCTCCTTTCAAGCTCATGTTTATGATCTTGTGTCATATTTTTAACTATCATTTTAGACTAAAATAGGTTGCTTCTCTTCTTGATCAGTTAATGCCACGGTGTCGAAAGACAGACGCTGGGTGCTCATCTCCTACCTGAAAGTTTCTGGGATACCTCTTAATGTTTTCTTTCCCAAGTACAGGAAGTCCTTGGTTTTTGGCCCATCTGTCTCTTTCACTGGGCAAATCATGGCTTTTTCCAGAATTAGCTGGGCATCTGATTCTCTCTCAGTAGAAATATTGCTGTTTCCTCACTAGGTGGGGAGCCTAAAGTTTTTTTCTGAAATCTCGGTCTCAGATACCACCACCCAGATTCCCTTTACAATCAAGCTGGACTTGAGGTCAGCTTGGACATGCCCAGCTATGTCAGTGATCTACAGATCCAGAGATCTAGCCCAATTGCTCCTCGAGTACCCAAGATGGAAATTTGGCAAGACCAAAGTGAGGACTTCAGGGATGTTCAAATCCTTTCCAAAGAGACTCTGCCTCTCCCAGCCTTTTAAACTTTTCCAGAGGCTCCATCAGTAGGGTGGGCTTGTCATTAGCCTCTTCGAGGAATGTGAACGGCCCACACATCACCATTGTTTAATACCAAAAGGTGATAAATTTATCTATGGAGATTCTCATTCATCCGGTCATGGTTGTCCCAAAGGTGCTTTTTCAACTGGACTTTCTGGTCTTTCTTTGAAGACGTTTCACTTCTCATTCAAGAAGCTTCTTCAACTGTCCCTGTGTCTAATTGTTTTGGGATGCACTGCCTTATAGCGGCGTCCTGAGGGGAGAAGTTGAAACAGTTTTATGTTCAGGATGTGTAGGTCTTAGCCCTCCTTCTGACCTGTGCAATATATAGGTCTTCGGTGGAAGGTAGGCTGGTTGCCATGGTGGCGCAGGGGTTGGAATGCAGTATTGCAAGCTGACTCTGCTCACTGCCAGCAGTTTGATTCTTGCTGGCTCGAGGTTGACTCAGCCTTCCATCCTTCCGAGATTGGTAAAATGAGGACCCAGAGTGTCGGAGGCAACATACTGACTCTGTAAAACCACTTAGAGAGGGCTATAAATCAGTATATAAATCTTAAGTGCTGTTGCTATTGTTCTTTTCACAGTCTTGACTATCTGTTGGAGTCTGTATTTGTTCTATTTGGTTGTTGTACCAAATGAGACAGTTAGACATTTATTTAAAAGCCAAAGTGTACACATCCAGCCCACCTTTCTCTTCTCCACTGTTGTTTCTTTGTCTTAATCTCTTTCTTATATATTTTGATCCCTTTGGTTTGTTGTAAAGCATCTCTTTGCAACATGTACTTTTAAATTGCTTTAGAAGGGAATTCAGTGGAGATAAACAGCTAGCTCAAACTGGCAGATTGAGGGTCAAGCAAGATATACCATTTTACACTGAGACTACATTGGATTAGTTTATTTTGTTTGTATATAAATGTCTGTGTTAATCTGAAAGAAAGATGAAAACTGTTCACTGAGATTGGTCATTGGAATTCTGTGGTTTGTCAGTTGAGGAGTGACAGTTGGAATGCTCAGCGACTGTTGAAAACAGACGTTTTGGAGAAGAATAGAAGAGATGCTGGTCATTTGGCATTGGAGACTGTGAGAGACAGCTGCAACTATCTGTCCGTGATCACCAATTGAGGAGATATCACTTTTTATTTCAAATATAATTCCAGTGCTATTGGGTAAGTTACCTGTTACATGTTACAGCGATATCAACTCATTCCAACCACGCTGCACTTAAAATTGTTGCGGTTGAAAAACAGTGGTACAGTTTAGAATAATTATTTGTGAGAACTATCACAGATATTTATTCAAAAGGAAATTGTTCCTACTATGTCATAATCCTGTTTGTATGTCCTGAGGGATCACACACAACAACACACACACACACACACACACACACACACACATGCAACTATATAAATGAAAGTTAAACTATTCTGTTTTGTTTTGTTTCAGCAAACTTACAGTCACCAACATAGTTCATAGTCTAAGATATTTGCAAATGAGGAGTAATGAAGACCTTCTGGATCCAAGGTAGGTGGCTTCCATTTATGTGAACTCTTATTGTTATTCTAAGGGGGATTTGTATTTAATGGTTAAATAATATGTCCTGTTCAATTTGTAGTATGTAGAAAGAATAATTAAACTATGGTATGTTAATGGGGGCGCAGAATTTCTTCAGTTTTGATATTCATAACATATCTGACATTTGTATACATCTCACAAAGTTCTATAACTGTTAAGGTAACACCTTGCTTTTTTCTTGACAATTGGCTAAGTATTATTTTAATGCCAACATATTTGATTTAAACCTTTTAAAGGCACTGCTTTTTTATAAGCAACTTCAATGTTTTCAGAGATTTGAATGGGAAAAATAATATTTATTCTTTGTATTTGTAAACCACTGAGAGTCACTTAGAAAGTGTAATGGGTGACATATAAATTTGATTAATAAATAAATCAGTTGGAGAAATTTACCTTCAATAGAATCAGTGGTGAATGCCCTTTACACCTCTAGATTATTCATGTATTTATGTACAGGTGTCAGAATAATAGCATAATAGACATATGTTGAGCTATTTTGTTTTGATTTTATTTCAACAGTTCGAAGTTCATTTACATGTCCAATAAATCACTTAATGGGCAAGTACCAAGTGAAACAGAATCCATGATTACAAAATGGTCAGTCTGGATTAATAGGGCCCAGTTTGGTGGTTATTTGCTTAGTATTTTAGGATGGATCCTGTGTATTACCTCAACAGCCACCGATCACTGGAGATTATGGCATGTTAAAAGTAAGGACAACTTGTATCCTGGCTTGTTATGGATCGGAATCTGGAGAGCCTGTTATCTGCACAGCACTCATCCAGAAAACAGATACATCCACTGTGAGGAATTCACTGAAGACCTGAAGATGCTGCCCACCGAAATTTTTCTGGCTCAAGATCTGTTGAGTTTGTGTTGCATTGTGGGAGCCGTGGGGATAACTTTCATGAGCTTTGCCTTGTGGAATGTTGTCAGAGCCATAACACACAAAACTTTTTTGCTCACTCTTTTTAACGTTGGAGGCCTTATGAACTTCCTAACAGGAATCATAATCTTAATTCCTATTTCCTGGAACAGTTATTCCATCTTGATAAATGCAGACATTATGTTTCCTGAGGATTTCCATATGCCTACTTCTCCACTGTACCAGGAGATTGGAGCTGCTATTTATATTGGCTATATTGCTGCAGTTTTATTATTGGTGAGTGGTGTTATGATCATGTGTAATAAACGTGTTTTTCAAAACCGTCAAGGAAGTCATATTTTATTCCCAGCAGCAACTGACATTTCTAGAAATACTGGTTCTTCTGGGACAATCGATCAACGACAAAAAGAGGAGCCTGAGCCCCGGGATGATGTGGTAACATCTGTGCATCGCACAGATATAAAGAAAGAGTCTGTACAATCAGTGCAACAGCAACTGCTTGAGGATGCTAAGGAGGTCCCCATTGTATTAGTTACTCCATATGTGGTCGAATCCCAGGTTGAAGGGGAGGAGGAGGCAGTTAAGAGGTTGGACAGCAGGGAATCACGTCCAAGGAGGAAGCATCACCGACCAGAATAGGAAAGCCTTTTCTGCTGGTGCCCAAGATCTATCTATCTATCTATCTATCTATCTATCTATCTATCTATCTATCTATCTATCTATCTATCTATCTATCTATCTATCTATCTGATATCTATCATCTCTCTCTCTCTCTCTCTCTTCCGGTATTCCCCCCCACTTTCTATATTTCTCTCTCTCCCTCTCTCATCTATCTAAAGTAACTGCTTTGGCTTATTCCCAGACTTGATTTGGTTCCTTGCACCTGATGCCATGCCAAGAACATTACCATTACAAGGGTCGAGGTCTTGAGCTGCTCAAACAGATGAAGCCCCCTCCCTATCTTTCTTTCTGACTCACAGCCTCAGAGCCCTGCTGTTCAACTCATCCCATCTGTCTATCTCACCCCAAATACACCAAATGAGAAAAAATGCCATTGAACAATATTGTATAGTAAACAATATTTTTAAACAATTGTAATATATTCTAAACAATATATTTAAATTTTCTTTAAATGGTATATTATTGTTATGATGCTATATATTGTAGAACATTGGTTTTTATATTCTATTGACAAATACTACTGAATTTATTTTGGACATTTTCTATTTTATTATTGTTTATTTACTGTATTGTATTTTGGTTCCACTTTTCATTGTACAGTTACAAAATAATTCATTTCCTACTGAAAATAAATATTATTAATAGTACTGAGTGGGTCCCGATTCTGTGTTCGTCTGGTCTAGCAGGATTGTCTGCCTTCTGTTTGCTTGGGTCTCCGTTGCAAGAAGTCCTGTGATTTTTTAATCTTGCTTCTAGAGCTGCAAAAAATTCTGACTGATTAGCCTTATCTATGTTATAGTTAAGGACTTTCTGAGCATACTGTGGTCTGCAGTAGCTAGTGGCAAGTTGGACATGTTGACTGCCCATTTGGCTTCATTTGTCTCTTTGTTTCTGGAATTTAGCTTGACTAATTTGGTTTCGAATTTTGTTTCCCTTTTTTGTCTTAGAGATGTATTCTTGAGGGTGGTTGTCAGCATTTTTGTGTTTACTGGGGCCATAGTTTGTTCCACTTGCTCCTTGAGGTTATCCGTGGTGAATCACCATAAAACACAAACCAACTACATAGTCTAAGACAGTGGTTCTCAACCTTCCTAATGCCGCGACCCTTTAATACAGTTCCTCATGTCGTGGTGACCCCCAACCAGGGGTGGGTTCTAAATTTTTTTACTACCGGTTCTTTGGGCGTGGCTTATTTTGTGAGTGTGGCTTGGAGGTCATGTGACTGGGTGGGCGTGGCTAGCTGGTCATGTGACTGGGTGGCCATGGCTATATGTATAGGGACTACTCAGAGGGCTGAAAAAAGTCATTTCTGACAGGTCCTCGCACTTTTGACTGGTCCTCACACTTATGACCATCCTCACATTTATGCCCATGCAGCATTCTTAACAACCATGTCACTCATTTCACAACTGCTTCTCTTCAACATGGTATAAGATAGGGCAAAAAACGTAAAATGTGAGGACAGTCGTAAAATCGAGGACTGGTCAAAAGTGCGAGGACCAGTCAAAAATAACTTTTTCAGCCCTTTGAGTAGTCCATATGCATAAAAGGATACAGCAATAGAGAGGGATGAAGGAAGGGAAGGGAAATTAGAGTAGGAGTGAGGGTAAGAGAGGGAGGAAGAGAGGAGGAGAAGGAGAAAGGAAGAGGAAGTAGGGAGGAGAAGAAGAAGGGGAGGAAGAGAAAGTAAGAAGAAAGAAAAGAGAGAGGTGGTAGGTTTGAGGAGAAAGATTGCTGTACAATAAAAAAGATGAAAGGGAAGAAAGCCAACCCCAAACAAATATTAAGATATTAAGATAAAGAATGAATTGTTAAACTTTAAAGAATAAAAGAGAACAAATAGCAATAAATAGCAATAATTAGAAACACACATACAAACATACAATGTATTTTCTTTGAACAGAGTATTTGGCCGGTTCACAAATTTAAACAGTTGTAGGAGGTTAGCATCCACCCCTTTCCTAGAAGAATGAAATATTTTGGGAAATATTAAAAAGGCAGAATATTATATTTCCCTACCTGGATGAGAAATGGAGAAGCATATTTTACAGACAAAGCAACTCCCACCTTCCTGCCCCCCACCCTTTGTTAATGGGCCAGAGGCAGAAACTCAATCCTTTGTCAAAGGACATTTGCAACACAATAGCAACAGAAACTAACACAATGGGCCCCATCAAGCCATGTGATCCTGTCCACCATTAAACCATCTTTCCAAGCAGTCTCCATGTTTCCAGTGTCTTTTTCCCCACTTGGAGCAGAACCCAGAAGGATATTTCTTCCAACACAGTATTTAGTCATTTCAATTAAATTTACAATTTTTATATTTCCTTTTTACCATATTTATTCCTCATCTATTTTTTAAAAAAACAATATTACCCTTCATCCTCATCTCTAATCTTAATCAAATTCAATTTTTCCCTTCTATTCTATATTATACCCCTTCCCATTGTCATCTATTTTTATATCCATCCTCACATTGGTTAATTATGTAATACAGTTGTTTAATACAAATTCAACATTTTAATATAAATCAATTAGTTATATAGCTACCTTTTTTGTATATTAATCAATATGAACATGAATATTCCAATTATTTCCATGCAATCCAATTTCTTACAAATCAATTAATTATATTTACCAATAATAATAAACCAAATAATTTCCCCCATATATTCCTCCAAACCACAACTTAACCATTTCTGCTTTCAACACAATATACAATTAATAGTATCTCAATTATTACAATTCCCTAGTTAAATAGAGCTTTTTTTCTTCTGTGTTTTAAAATCTTGAACCTCCTCTTGCCCTAAATTTCCCATTGTTTGCAGTTTGCACCTACCTTTTTTGGTGAGGAAAAAGAAATCTCTCTGCCTCATTTTGTCACGTTGCAGCCAAGACCCTGCTTACTTTCAATTTCCCTTTCTCAGCATAGCTAGGGGGGAAAAAATCTGCTTCAGGAATTTACCTCTTTGCAGCTAGCAACAGAGCTAAAACAGCTGAGAGTAGGGCTGCTCTTTGAAGCCCCGCGGCAAGAATTTAAAGTTTTTTTCCCCTCTAGCCATCAGCTGGGACTCCGGAGGCAGAGGGTGAGGATGAGTGAAGGCGTGGGGGGGGGGCGAGAGAGGGCTTTGGCGACCCCTGTGAAATGGCCGTTCGACCCCCAAAGGGGTCGCGACCCCCAGGTTGAGAACCGCTGGTCTAAGAAGAAAAATAAGTAAGACAAACAGGCTGAGGTCATCCATGAACACCAACTAGCAATCAAAAGACACAATGAAAACTCCTTAATCTCACAGCACATGGACAGACTCAACCATAGTTTCAGCTGGGAAACCTGACTATCCTAGATCAAACCAAATCCAAAAATGATATTACTATCTTTTTTGCCATGGTTGGTAAGTGAATCACTTGTACAGTTAACAACACAGTTGTTAAGCAAATTTGGCTTCCACCACTGACACTGATTATCGGAAGTGAACAGGGAAAGTCACCAATGGCAATCCTATGACCCGGGGACACTGCAGCCATCACAAATAGAGGCCAATTGCCAAGCAGCTAAATTTTGATCATAGGACCATGGAAATGCTGCAAGGGTTGTGAGTGAGAGGACCAGTTGTTAGGCACTTTTCACTGTTTCATTCAAACAGGTCACTAAAGGAATGGCTGTAAGTCGAGAACTACCTTTATTGTATATAAATAGGGCGCAAAGCCCCCCCATCCACACTGGCACTGACAGTGTTAATGATCCATGATGCCAGGTAATGAAACATCTGCAAGCAAAGAACCGAGTCAGAGTACACCAAGGACTCCACATTTCAACCCTGGTCTACGGAGATTCTGTTCTATTGGATCTTACCCTGCAAATACAGAAATGAAGAAATGGTATTTTCCTCAGTGTTTCCTATGTGGAAAGATGATGGGGTTCTATCTTTTTTTGTGTCAACAACTGTAATAATTAAATATTGATTTAATTTGAATTCTTGGTACCGAATGTTTTCTTGTATTTAATTTACCTGCTAAGGATACACAATACAGCTTGGAATCTCCTTACTCACTGGTGTGTTCATTGTCTTTGGATTCTCAAAGAACCATTTCTCTGGCACCTGGCAAAAGATTCTCATACACAGACACAAAGATTCATGGGATGGGAGGAGGAGGATTGTCTTTTACCTCCTCGATGCTCCGCCACTCCACTGTATGGGTTCCTTTCTCTGTCATTAGATCGACTGGGTGCCAATCAATTTTTTTCTCCACAGCTTTGTCCCGCCTCCTCCAACTGCGCATGTCCAGTCTTTTCACTCAGTCGCTGGTGATCAGACTGTAGTGCCTATCTTTCTATTGTTTTAAGCGACTTATTTAGATCGTGAATTAAAAGAGGAGTTTAACTCAAACTGTTTTTCGCTGCGCGAATAGGCGTTCCCGGCTGGGGCGCCTTTCGCGGCTGTTAATAGCGATAATTGAAGGCTTTAGGGAAGTTTGAACTTTCCCTCAGCTGATTGTAGCCACGAGCGAGGAGAGGATTAACCGGCGCGCCGGCAAAACCGCTCTCGCTATTTAAGCCTCAAGTTAGCGGCAATTTCAAAGTCCCTGCCTTGCCGGCAAACTGAAATACTCAGGAGCTTGCTTCCGAAAAGGGATAATCGGCGCTTTCAGCAGCCGAAAGACGAGCGGCTAATTTGATAACGATCCGGCAAGATCAAACAGCAATAAGGTCATCTCTTTGAAACGCCGTTACTGCGCCCAACCGTCATCTGGTCAGAGCGGTTAGAGGGCTGATTGGTGGAAGCCTGGTGGAAGCTGTGTGAGGGACAGTTCCAGCGTTTGGTCTGGGTCCTGACTCCTGATTGTGAAAAGCAGCTACTTAATACAGGAAAGTATAAATTTTATTCAAAGTCTTATTCTATTTCGGGGGTGTTGTGTGATTTATTATGGCAGAAGAGGCAATTTCCTCTGAGTTGGATCAAAGTCCATCCCCTATTAGAGTACCTTCTCCTAAGCCAACCAGACAAAAAAAGGTTAAATCCAAAGCTTCAGGGCATTCTCATCAGCATCAATCCTCTCAAGCAGATGGGTTTTTGAGAATAACTAGACAAGATCAGCGCAGACATAATGCCTTGGAAAGGCAATTCGATAAAGCAAAGCGCTTGGCACAGACAAATATTCAAAGTGGGGAAAATGACATAATTATGCTTAATTCCCAGTTGAACCAAGGTCAGCAGAGCATGACTCAGGATTCGGTCTCTAACCTAAAAAATCTGGCAGATCCATTGGCGACTGGTCAGAACATGGACCAGAATCCAGAGGAATTTATATTAAAAGAAGCAGGTCCATCAGGGCCTTTCATTAAAAATTTAACAAGATCAGTCCCAGAGGCCATGTTTACGCCAACTGCAGCTGGACTTAGGCTTGGGGAGGATTCCCTTTCTGAACAGAATTCAGAATTTCAGGCTTTTTTGACCCAGACCTTTACCAGAATATTTCAAACAGGTTTACAATACTCAGGTTTACCTGTAGCACCCAAGGAACCAGTGGCAGTCCATTCTGGTCATTATCAGGTACCTAGGGCTGAGTTTGCACATTCTTTACAAGGAGGTAAATCACCAGAATTGATTGATCCAGAGGATAACATGGAAGAATTTGATTTATCTGA